GGGGCTGTGCCTGAAGGCGGGGCCGGGGGGGGGGGCTCTGCAACTTACCTGGCTGCTTCTTGTTCCTCGTGGCCCGACTGAGGGCTGCTGGGAGCAGGGGGTGGGGCTTGTTGCATTTGCCCGCCCCCTGAGCTCCTTACTGCCGGAGCTCCGCTCCTGTGCGCTCCTGCAGGAAATGACCCCTGTGCTGAAGACATGTCTTGGTTTTCAGAGCACCTGGTGCTTCTCTTTCGCCTCTCCCACAATTTACTAAAAATGCTTCCAAATTTTTTTAGAGTGTGTCTATGGCAAGGTTTTCACAGGCCTCGGGAGGAGGGTGCACCGAGCGGGATTCAAACCAGCCAACGAGCGAGGGAGTCCAGGCTAACAATCTTTCTTCTTTCTTTGTCCCCATCACAGGCAGTGGACAGGTGGTGTCCAGCCATCGTCCTGGCAAAGGGGTGGAAACGGCCGCTGCATCTCCAGTCCAGGTAGAAGAGATGAGTGGGGAACAACCTGCCCCCCCCCAGTGTTCCCTCTAAGCTAAGTTAGTGTGAGCTAGCTCAGTTTTTTAGCCTCCGGCTCACGCATTTTTGTCTTAGCTCAAAAAGGATGTCTCCTGTAAAGTACTGGGTTCGCCACATGGAAGACTCGGACCACGACGTGCGTTCAGACGTGTTTATTGTACTTCACACAAGAACTGCAAAACGGCCCTGCGAGGCCAACTATATACACACCCACCCAGCACACCCACCGTCCCGTTGGAGGGTTTGAATTTCCCGCCAATGTTGCTATTGGTGAATGCTGGGGGAACTAGGATCCTAGGCTTCTATTGATTAGAGGAGCTAAGCTCCACACTGTAGCCGCAGACCCCTGGTGGCAGGCCGCGTACATAAAGTGGCACAGGGGATTTATCCTCTGGTTACAAGTAACATCTGAGCTGAACAGAACTGCTGTCAGTTCTAGCCCCGCGCTGGTGTGAGCTACCAGCCTTGTCCCCAGCTCGCCGTTCACCCAGCGGCTCGAAAGCTTCGGCAAGGAGATAAAATGGGTACCACTCCTTAGAGAGGGTGGGCACACCAAACACACACACACACCCGTGGGGGTGGTGTTAGCCGGCGAACGGAAGGTTCGGCTCGCAAGATCGAAAAGCCTAGAAGATCTCTCCGGCGCGAAGAAGCCTGTAATGGGCCGTTTCGGCCTGGCGGTGGCAGTATGGAGCTGCGACCCAAAGAGTCCTGGAGAGGAAGAGCTGACGTCATCCAGCCAAGCCAAGCTGAGTGGGAAAAATGCCGTCCGGATCACGTCTGAATTGCAGCTGAACTAATCCCCGTCGGCTGCAAAACGTGTGCTATGTAAAGATTGTATGTGTTGTCCTCCCTTACCCATATAAAGCATTGTTAGTCCCTTGTGAAATGAGTAGCTGTAAATCGCTCAGAGCCAGCAGCTCTGCAAGGACTGAGCGGTCAATAAATTGAAAGATTGTTATTATTATTATAACAGCTCCAGAGCAAACTAATTTATGCAGTAGCCAAACTGCTTGCTCACATCTTTGATGCCAGGAGCTCACCAAGTAGAATTTTTTCTCACAAGACTCCACAGCTTAGAGTGGAGCAGTGATTCCCCCCTCCCCTTTCAGAGGGGGGCTTTTGCTCCTGCGGTTACTGCT